CGGCCCCGCGCCGCGCGCCGCGCTGCTCCAGAACTGGCTGGACGTCAAGCGGACGCTGCTCATGATCAAGTTCGCCGAGAAGTCGGTGGAGCCCGGCGGCGCCGTGGGCCTCGAGGACTGGCTGTGCGCGCAGTACCTGGCCTTCGCCACGGCCGACTCGCTGGGCGGCATCGCGAAAATCCTGCAGCAGCCGTGACGCGCCCGCCCCACGCGCACCAGCGCCCTCCAGGGCCCGGCCGACCCCACGGCTGCAGGCTGTAACGACTGTCCGCGCGGCTGGCCTCCACGTCCGGCCTGAGTGCTGGGGCCGCCGCCCGCACACCACCCGCAGCTCGGGTCCGGGGCCCACGCTGGGCTCCGCCAGTGGGAGGAAGAGGGCGGGTCGCCACCCCTTGTCTGGCGTGCGGGGTACGGTGTGCAGGAGGGCCCAGGCCTCATGCCCGCCGCGGGGCCGAGGAGAGCGGGCGCCCACGCCTCGCTCTTCTCTCGGAAGTCACGGAGGGACGGCCTCGTCCACGGCCTCGGGTCCGAGTTCGGCCCCCCCAGGGGCAGGCCCGTGCCACGCCTGCACGAGCTCGTCCCCGGCTGCAGCTGCGTCCTCACCCGGCACGCGGGGCCGGCCCTCCCCGCACGCGCCACGCGAGTCTTCTGTTTACTTCAGCCTGGAGCCACTCGAGCCATGTGAGCGTGAGCACGGCGCGCGTGCACACCGGGAGGAGGGCCGGCTCGGGCCCGTGGGGACCCCTGCCCCGTCCCCCCCACGACCCGCCCCTTCCTCTAAGCCGGGCCTGGCCGCGTCGCGCGCCTCGGAGCCGCAGCATCGCACGCGGCCCACGCCCTGCCACGGCCCCTCCGGAGGCTGAGCTCCGAGGATCGCGGTTCAAAGCCGGCCCCGGCAGAAAAGTCCATGAGACTCTTAAGTTAACCGCCAAAAAGCCAGGGGTGGAGCGTGGCTCAATGGGTTTGAGCGCCAGCCTAGAGCCCAAGAGCTCAAGGACGCTGTCCGGGCCCCGAGCTCAAGCCCCGGTCCTGGCACAGAAGAAAGAATGTATTGTGATGTTGTTGTTGAGAGTGGCGTGGGCGCCCTATGCAAGCAGAGCGGCGGGGCTCTCAGGAAGGAGGCCGGGCCTGGCCGTCCAC